TTATCTTTTTTTTATTGTATTTTCAAAATACGATGAAAGAGGCAAAAAAATAATAATACCTACTTCTTTTTTTTGTTTTTGATTTTAGAACAGATTGAATGTTAAAAAGCAGTTACTAATAAAATAAGTATAAATAATAACTGCTTTTGGGTTATTTAAGAAAAGAATGATGTGGGGTGAGGAGGAGGAGGAGGAGGGCAAGATAAAAAACGTAAACTTACTTAGAACTTTAATGAAAAAACAAAAACACTGTGGTACGCCGCTAAATATTAATAATAGCTTTAAAAAATATAGAAACAAAATACAGAAAAAAAAATTAATAATAACAAAAAAAGAAAATTAAAACTTTTTTAAGATGAATAAAGAAAAAAAAGGAGTAAAAAAACAAGAAGAATTCTGGTTTGTAATTTAAAAATTTCTAGGTCTTCTTCAGTTTTTTTTTTTTTCGTTTTATAAATTTTTATTCTTATTCTATATACCCATGTATATATATATATATATATATATATACTTACATATAATTTTTTTCCTGAATTTCTAAGAAGATCATGATGCCGAATCCTTTCAATATAATCATATATTGATTATGATGATGATGAAGATGATGGCAATGATGATAGTGTTATGCTTCATTGAAATTATAAGGTTAACTTAGATTTTTTTTTATACAAAATACAAACAAAAATATACGTACATAATATGTGCTTATAAATATACGTACATACGTACATTAATACTTATACATATATACCCAACATATGCGCGAACTTATGAACTTACATATGTATGTATGTACTTACTACGTACAATATTTATTTAGTTGATCGTAATAGAAATTTCGTTCATTTTTTAAAGAGAGCGGTTTAAGAAACGAAAATAAGTACGTAGTCTAGGTACATACTTCCATACATACATATATAAAGTATATTATTGAAAACTACAAAAATTATTTAAAATTAATACTTCTTCCTTTTAAAATTCTTGACATAATTATCTATCTACATACATATGTAAATAATTATTATATTTCAAATAAAAATTTAATAATTACTTTCATTATGAACACTTGCAATTTTTAATATTCATTATTATAACTGCAGCTCATTATACATATATATGTATACGAATTTTCTAACTGAAGAAATTAAGAAAATTTTTATCTTGAAATTCCATATTTTTAGGCGCAATTCTCGGAATATATAGTTCTTTGTAAATACAATTAAGATTTTGCCAATCAACCAATGTCACATTAATTACTAAACTCGAAGAACTATGAGCACGTATTGAGTGGACTTCAATTTTAATATATTTCTTTTAAAAAATCTAAAATATTAAGTATAACTACCTATTTGTTCAAAAAAAAAATTGATTTCGAGAGAACAAAAATTTTTGAGTAAGAACACTATTGATGCAAAGGTGCGCTAAACATAAATCTTAGAATTATTCAAAATAAACCATAATTCCGGTTCATAAAATCACTTTTGGTTTAATATTTCATTGTATATTTTCAGGTTTATTATGAGACAAAAGTGAGTTATTTAAAATCTCATATCAATTAAAAATTATTTTAATCACTGTGAAATGTACACGTACTATAAGAAAAAAATAATTGTACTATAAGAAAAAAACAATTAAAAATTCCACTTAAAATAAAATTTGCAAAATTCATACTCAAATCGTTGACAATTATACCTAAAATTTTAAATAATTAAAGTTTTTATCAATGCTTATAAATAAAATTTATTATAAACAGTGACGCCGTCCCTACTTAAGTATATCTAGAGAAATTTTATCATAACAATTTTTTTTTTTATTAAGTATATCTAGAGAAACGGAACGAAAAACAAAAACAATACATTTTTGACTTTTATAACTAATTAGCAATACAATAGCAGACTTTTTATGATTTTTGCTCTTTACTGTGCTCATTTGCTGGCTCTTATATGAGATGGCGTAAGTACAAAATTGGTTTGCTCTTATATGAGATGACACATCAATCTTTTGGGAGATTCAAATATACACTCATAAATTTTCAGATATACATATTTAATATTACGCCTTTTTTTATTTCTATGACGGCAACATTGATTATGAATCACTGCATTCAACTTGTACACCAAATTACATATTTTCTACGTATATGCAGGAATACCATCCATATATATGCATACTGTATATATGTGCCTACACATGAACTCAACTATACAGACATTCATATTCATCTTGCTCATATTTCCTGAAACCAAACTTAACAATCAAATTAAAAAAAAAAAAAAACCGAAAACAAAAGGTAAGAATTCAAAATTTTAAAAAAAACGAAAAAAAAACTTCATCTATACTCAACTGACTCTTTACCCCCGAGTTTCTTCTTGATACCTGTTAGAAACACAAACAATAAAAAAAATTTTAAAAACAAAAACATTAAAAGAAAAAACTAACAAGAATAAAAAAAATTTTTTTTTTATGAAAAGACCTTCTTATAATTCAGAAAATAACAAAAAACAAAATAAGCTGGAATCGAACCTTTTCACATACAATCATGTCAATCCTGCCTGACTGAAAATAACTGAAAATCAAAAAATCAAAAAAAAAAAAATTTTGTTTTTTTTTAAGAACCTCAAAATTTCGATTCCACATTTCCAAGTTTCTCCTCTCATAAGATACAAGCAAACAGATAGATATACAAATACCTCCAGCAGATTATTTACAAAAACAAAAATCAAAGAAAATAAGAAAACAAAAAATTAAAAGAAGCAACGTTTTCAACTGAATACCGAACGAGCGATCATCATCAAAAGCAGCAAAGACTCAAAGAGAGAATCAAGACAATAAAAAAAAAAAATTCGAATTTTTTGATGGAAAACGAAAGAAAAACCCAGAAAAAAAAAGAACAAGAAAAATTCCTAGAAAACTGAATAAAGGTCGGATTAGCATTTGGGTATAAATTTTTATATATGTATATATACATATATATATATACAATCATACCCACATACATGACAATGCAATACACGTTATATGAAGAAGAAATTGTTCACAACTCACTAGTGGCAAGTATACCCTCTGTAACTATATACAAATGCATAACCATGCAAACTTATATATTCAAACATATTATACATATTTACAATTTGTATGCTATTCAATAGTGAAAAAATAAAATATTGAAGAAAAAAAAAAAATAACAGGAAAAAAAAACAACTTCATATAAAAGAAGACTCTACATCTGATCATCATCATCAGAGAGCGGCATCCATTACAAGATGGCCGGCAAAGTGCAATAGCATCACTAATATATCTTCTTATGATAATTTATAATTTTGCCGCTACAATCTCTTGATCATAATCATGATCATCATCAACGTCGTCAACATCATCATCATCATTAAAATTATACAATTTAAACCCGATTTAAACCCTGGCTATCTAATATAATATTTAAACATATTTTAATAAAATGTATAAAAATAATAACAATAATAAAAAAATGTTGCATAATTATAAAAAAAAAAAAATATGGTAAGTAAATTAAAAATGCATGAAAGTATGCATAAGTAGTCTTAATAGATATGATCACATTCCAATTGGGATGCATATATTATGCGTTTCTTATGTACATTCTGATTCCAGATACAATTAAGTAGAAGTTAGGCTAGATTTACCAATTATTATAATTATAAATTTCATGTAAAAACGCGGCCAACAGTATATTTCAAGTAAAACAAAAAAATGTAGACGCATACATACATACATACGCATATTATTTTACACAATAATATCGTTAATATGAATTGCTAAGGAATTAATGAAGTAAATAGGTGCTTATAAATAACCTACATTTTATGACATAACTATAGCCTTCGATTGTAAGAGTTTAAGAATCTTTTTAGAAATCTCTTTTTTGCAATAGGAGATCACCAATTGAAAATATTTTGCTTAATATTGTATCTAGTTAATCCATAGAAATTTTTACATACTGATTATAGAAAATCAAGGACCGGACCTAAAGTCTGGTAGCAAGCAAATATAATAAAAATATGATTAATTTTATATATTCCCATGGGAATTTTAAAGGAACTACTTATTTGTCAAACCTAATAATTTGTCAAACAGTGAACGGTCGTAGCAAGTAGGTACATACTATAATCATAAACTATTTCGAAATAAATATTCAACTTCACGATGTTTCAAAATTTTAAGTAGATATTATATGCATATACCTTTTACTTTTATAAAGTTTAATCAAAAAATTCGAATAATTACTTATAAGAGATTTTTCAAAAATTTACAATCTTAACTTGTCAATAATTTTTATATTAAAAACATTAAGAAATCTTTCGGAAATAAATTGTAAGGAATACACGAATTAGGTACCTACCTTTTTAGTTATTTAAAATAAGCAAATGTTGAAAATTTGATTCCAAATGATCAGTAAAATTGTGATTTTACTGAATCGTAAGTAGTTTTATTCGTAAAAGTTGGACCCTCTATTTTAAACTCTTACCAGATTAGCGTTTAAATAATAAGAAATTTTAAGAAATCACATTTTTATGTTGGTTTTATTGCTTATAAGCATAAAAAATTTAAAATTAAGGAAATATAGGTATTATTTAAAAAAAGTAGCAATATACTTAGATGAAGATTATATGTAGCAATACGTGGGGCTGCAATTGAAAAATGTGTTTAAACTTTTATTAATTTAAAATTTAAATTCTAAAAGAATAGAAAAAATCAACTAATTCTAACAATGATAGCAGTGCTGTAACAGTAAATAATTACACTGTATTGCATTTCATTGTAATCCTCAAAAATTTGTTGATATTTATGAATTTTATTGATTATAAAAAATAAATTAAATTTCCTATCAATCTACTATATTAATTACTATAATTAAGTTAAAAATATTACAAAACTTAAATAGAAACTAAACCTGTACCCTATATAAACAAAAAATAATTAAATTTAAAAAATTATTTAAAATATAAGTGAAAGAAACTTACCAGAAAATTTATGATATCCACCAAGAATTTTATGTTTCCACCATTTAACAATATGTCCTGCCATATTTTTATATTTTTGATTTGTTTTTTTAAATTATTTTCAATTTAACACAAAATTTAAAACATCAGAAAAATTGAATAAACTTTTGAATTCCAAGTTCATAAATAAAAATCTCAAAATCAAAAATTGGAATATATTCTGATTAAACAAAAAAAAAAAAAAAAACAATTTTTTATATCCGAAAGAGGCTATGTATATTTTGAGTTGTTAGCTGTATATATAGTTACATACATACATATGTACATATATTTTTATGTTGTTTATTTTTTTCTTTTTTAGGTAGGTAGGTAGGTACCCTTATTACGTTCGGTATATCTTCATATGAACATAGTTTTTTTCTTTCTCTGTTTGTTTCCTTATTGCTGCCTCTATAATTTTGGCACATTCATTCAAGGTTTTTGTTTTACTATATTTCACCCAAAAATCAAAATAAAAAAAAAATCTCTAGGCGTACCCTTATGTTTTGAATCGTTGCTCTTGCTTTTATTGTTTTTATTTTTTTTGTTGTTTTTGGTTTTACATAAAAAGAAAAGAAAAATTAGAATAACTTGTATCTAGTTATATGTAGTACATAAGAATTTGGTATGTTTATGTATATATGCCCTTATTTCCTGTTTGTCGATAATTTTATTTTTCAGCTTTCATGTATAAAAATTATAAAATATTTATGGTGAGTGAAATAGTCACAAAATATTCATATTATTTGACTTCCATTTCATTTAAACACAAAAAAACGAAAAAATATTTAATTTACTATAGTTAAGAAATCCACGTTGTCAAATTTTATGCAAGATAATTGTATACCAAGAGTTTTTACAAATTTACTTCAAACATAATGAAAAACGATAAAATTGTAAAATATTTTTTATTTTCAATTTTCTATTTCGGAATGTCTCTAATTACACTTTGTTGCATTTTGATAGAATTCAAAATTTCTCAATGACGACATTTTTGTTTTTTCTTTTTTAAAATTTTTTCTTGTTGCCTTTTATTTGAAATGTTTCAAAAAAAAACTTATTTTTATAATAATAAACGCATTTTATTCAAATATATTTTTTTTAAATTAAAAAATTATATTTTTAATATTAAATATCTTTTATAAAAAATTGTAGAAATTAAAAATTTATATTTGTTTCGAATTTCAAATAATAATAATAAACAACAATGGATCATTTCACTTTAAAACATTGAAATTTTTTTCAAACATTCCGTTCCCAAAAATTTTCTACGAACTTTTATTTGACAGAGCTGATTTAAAACTGCTCTTTCCACACTCAATTTACTCCGCTTTTTAATTTTTTTTTTTCGTAAAGTATTATAAAATAAGAAGAAAATAAAAACCAAACATCATATAAAAACAAAATAGAATAAAAAAGTGGCTCATGGTTGTTTTGCTTTAACTTATTATTTGACAACAAAATTGTGTGTAAGTGTGTATTTAGTATTCAGCTCAATCAGCTTTTTTCAGCAATCAAATGTCATAAAAAATTGACATTGACATTTTAAAATGATTTTTTAAAAAAATTTCTTTTTGTCAACAGTGCTGCCATATTTTGTCATACCTAAAAATTGCAAACAAAAATATTCTTAATAAACAAATATAATTTTTGTTTAATTTTCAAATATATACTTAGTGACATACATATATTAATAGAAAAAGAAAATAATTAATCATAATTTTATAAAATTCAAATAAACTGCAATACAATAAATTCCAATAATATTCAAATAAAAATTCAATTGACATTTGTTTAAAAGCAAAATGAATATGAAACAAAAAAAGAAAAACGCACCCCAATTAATGATTGATATGAGTATATGACATTTCTTCAATCTTTTTAGTGTTGAAAAAAAATTGTTGACAACAACATACCTGTATTTTATTTTTTTTTTTATTAATTAAAAAAAAATATATTCATCGAATGTGTTTTAAAAATATCATTGTAAAAAAAATACTAAAAACAAATGAAATTAATAATAATATAAAAAATAATGAATTTTGAGGAAAATTTATCAGAAAAAAGTCTTGTGGTCAGCCCCCCTACCACCACAATTGACGAAATTGACCCAAGGGCATTCGATTGCTTAAAATTTATTAAACCCTTGGCAAATGACGACTTTCGCGAGAAATGTGGCGAAATTTTTGTTGAAAATGGGAAATATACATTAACATGTAAATTTTGTCAAGATGATCATGAAAATTTAGAAATTTTCATTGAACATATGGTTGAACATTTAATACCTAAAGTAGAAGAACTTGATTCTGATGCTTCAAGTGATTGCAAAAGTGACGAAGAATATGAAGAGAGAGAATTTAAAGACAAAAATCCAATATTAGCTGATTATGATTCATTTGAAAATAATGATTATGATTTTGAAAACTCTAAAAATTTTGATTTTAAAAAAAATAATATACATTCTAATTACATTAATGGTAATGGTGACGTTACTAATAATAGGTCAATATCCACCCACCATCAAAATTTTATTGGCAACAAAACATTTAGAAATCACAGCGGATATGACAGTAGAAATAATGATAACGATGGAGAAGATGGCGAGGGTAATACGATTGAGTGCGTTCCAGATATTGGAATGTTTTATGATTTTGAAAATTCAAATGATGGTAATGATCATAATGAAAAAATAAATCATAATAGTGTCGAATCAAATTGGAATGGTCATAATAAAAATATGATGCATTTGGATGCAAATTGGAATAAATCTAATGATGGCCGTTTCCATTGTCATATGTGTGATAAATCATACCAATATTCAAAATCATTGAAGGAACATATTGATTTGATTCATAAGTGTACCGAGAAAAATTTTAAATGTCCTACTTGCGATAAGGGCTTTACAAAACAATGGAAATTAAATACTCATTTAAAGGTAAGTACCACAATAAATTTATAAATGTGATTGCAAAAATTTTATTTTTCTTTGCATGTGTTCTAGGTACACACAGATGAAAGGCCATACATATGCACAATTTGTGTTATGACTTTCAAATGGAAAAAAAATCTTTCCAGACACTTGATCCGTGTTCATAATGTAAGGCTATCTGAAATTAAGCCTGAGCAATATAATTTGAATTTAATGAATAATAAAACAGAAGAACATTTTGTACCCGGAGAAGACAATGGTGAAAGCTTCAGCGAACATTTATTTAAAAATTCTTTTCATGCTAGTGATATTAATGACTTCCCAATAATAAAGAATCTTTTAACAGAAAATTCTGCAATTACAAATGCACCACGCACAACTCCCGAAGGGGAAACGTTATTAAATCATTCCATTAAAAAAGAAAAACCAGACGAATATGATGAAAGCTTCCAATACCTTGCCGAGCCAATGATTCCTTTAAGGGAACCGCTTCCACCTCAGCATAGACCAACAAAATCAAATAACTCACAGAGATCCGGCGCCAATAAAAGAAGTCCCCAAAAGATTTCAAGAGATGATTTCAATTTCGGCATGCCACGAATAAAAATTGAACCAGGGTCTGATTTAGAATGCAATAAAAATGATATGAGGGCAGTCGGCTTAGATATGTTTAAGCCTAATCCCAGAAGTTTCCAACAAAAGCTAAATAATGTATTTGATTCAAACAAAAATAAAAGTAAAACACAAAGCTCCGGCAACACCTCAAGAGCACAAGCTGCACCTTTAGTTCCTAACAAAGATGGTTTTTATTCATGTCGGACATGTTCAAAAGTTTATTTACGAAAAGATTCACTTAGAGCTCACGAACGTATTCATAGTGCTGGATTAAACTGTGAATTTTGTGGAAAAAGCTTTTCACATCGTTACTTTCTTGAACGACATGTTCGTACTCACACCGGCGAAAAGCCATTTCGTTGTCATTTATGTAACGCTTCCTTCGTTGAAGAAAATTCATTACGAAATCATATTAAATTCCACATTGGTGATAAACGATTTGCTTGCCAATTTTGTTCAAAACGCTTTATAAAGCAATACGAAAAAATTGAACACGAACGAAATGCTCATAACAACCAGGTTCCACCTTACAAATGCGATTTTTGTTCTAAATATTTCAACCACATTAAGAATTTAAGATATCACAAAAAAATTTGTACACAGAATCCTGATTCTAACAAACGCGAAATGGAAACGTCCCAGTTGTATACAATTTTAAATAAGAATAAAACTGATGCAGAAAGAAAAGATCTTGATCGTCAAAATGAGACAAAAATAAAGTCTGAACCTAAAAAGGAACCCAGTGTTGTAAAAAAAGAAAATCCTGAAAAAGAAGTAAATAACAAAATTGAATCAAATTTAAAAGATAATGAGCAAACCCCCAAACAAATAAATACTGCAAAAGAAGAAGAGGCAAAGGCTAAACAATCATTAATGCTTCAACCAATTCCAATACAACATCTCCAAGACACTCATTCTAATAGGGATTCGAGAGCAAACCAAAGTTTTGAGCAACAACAGTATGCAGAACATGAGCAACGGAAGTCACAACATGTAGAACCCATTCAAGAGCCACGCAAATTACAGTATGTAGAGCCCAAGCAAGAGCCTCGCAAATTACAGTATTTAGAACCCAAACAAGAACCACGCCAATTACAGTATCCAGATCCTAAGCAGGAACAACGTAAATTACAATATCTAGAGCAAAAGCAAGAACAACGCAAATTACAATATGCAGAGCAAAAACAAGAGCAGCGAAAATTGCAGTATGCCGAACAAAAGCAGGAGCAACGCAAATTGCAGTATGCAGAACTTAAGCAAGAGCAACGTAAATTACAGTATGCAGAACTCAAACAGGAGCAACGCAAATTACAAAATGAGAAAGAACAAGTGCACTTACAAACAATGTCGTATGAACAATTACATAGTGTTCAAAATGAAAATAATGCACAACAGCATATATCGCCGCATCAACCGCAACCAGAACCTCAACATCATGTTCTTTTACCATCTCTTCCAGAAAGAAAACTAAATGATCCTCTTCCACATCGAATATCAGAACCGCAGCAATTACAACCTACCCTAACACAACATCCTCAATTGCATCAACAACATCATTCACAGCATTTACATCATCCGCAACATGCGCCACCACCACCACCGCCGCAATACACAGCACAACAGCAACATTTACATCATGGTCATCATCTTCATCATCCCTTCCAATTAACTCATTCTCTAGATTTAGGACAACAAGCAGATCAGTTACAAGTTGAGCAAAGCTTTCAGCAGCATCAGCTACAACAACATTATCATAGTTTTCAACATCAATATAATCATCATCAGGCTACGGCTCATTTACAAGCGCCAACACCACAACTACAAATTCAGCAATATCATCCTCAACAATTTAATTTTCAGCCTCATTCACAATATCTAGCAGCTGCTGCTCATCAACAAGCATATTATCCCCAGCAATATCAAATGCAACAACATGCTGCTGCTGCTCATTTGCAACATCATCAGCAATATGAACCTCAATCACATTTGGCAAATCAAATTGCTTATGTGCATGATAGTTTTAGTTAGGTTTTTTTTTCTTTCAAGTAATTTACTATATCAAGAAAATTTTTAGCTAGTAATTTAAGATAATTTTTATTTATGAATCTATTTTTTATGTAAATACACTAGAAATTATAATATATAAAATAAGATATTAATAGGATTGAATAGAACTGTAAAAAATTAACTCAAAATATTTCTTACATTTATATAAGAAAAAACTTAAAAAGACTTTTTGTACAAAACTCACTAAACAAAGATACCGAAATTATTTATGGCAGTTTTCGGAAAACTATTTAATAATAGCCAGTAAACAAAATAAATTTTATTTTTGATGTATTTATTTTAAATTTTTACTAATAAACGTACTTAGTTTTATAACATTACCAATTACTATAATACATAATTAACATATTTTTCCCTTATATAAGAACTCATAGTATTAGTTAAATTCATAACTAAGTGCTTAGAATTATTATTAGGTTCTAAAAAAACTTCATTATATTAAACTTTCATAAAGTTCACAAAAAGTTTATAATATCATTTTTTTTTATTCCAATTCATTACAATTGATTAATTTTACAAAATTATAAAAACCAAAATGCTCTTAACAAATGATCAAATCTAAAATATTAATAAACATACTAAATTATTAAATTAACAAAAATATTGAATAAATTAAAATTCTAAAAACTGCCATTTCATTGAAAATCAACTGCAAACTGAGCTAAGCTAATTCATGGTCATTTTGTAGCCCGTTTAGTTTATATATAGGCTTAAAGAATGGCGATATTTATTCCCAACATTATATCAAATCAAGTTTAAATAGAATCAAAATACATACATATATAATGTAAAAGTAATTTTGTAAGAATTTAAATTTTAAATTTAGCAATATTAAGCTAAAGAATAGAAAAAAAAAAGAAAAAAATAAGTTAATCCTAATATGTAATTATTAAAAAATCAAATAATTTAAGTAAATGCAATAATTATTCTAATATCTATTAAAATTAAAAAAAAAAAATTGGAATGTTAAAATTCTAGGACAACAAAATTAAATGGAAAAAAGACATTTTGATTTTTGCAGTTAAAACATAGCCCCGTTTAGCTTAACTCTTAGATATCATCTTGCAGGTCTAAGATATTTTATCTTAATGATAACTTTTTTTGTTTTACATTTTTTTCGACTAAATTATTTACATATTGACAAAATTTAAAAAAAAATTCCATTATTTAAAAAATTAAAATCTCAGAGATTGCCATTTTATAAATTAAAAAAATTTGTATACTCGGATTTATTGTTTTAATAAATTAAAAATTTTACTTGAAATTAAAAAAAAAAAGAAGATTAAAAAAAAATAATCAAAATTAGTTTAGCTTTAAGAATTAATATAAATAATCTTTTAAATCAGAAATTTAATTTATACATGAATAAAATTAAATGTTTTAAAATGAAAAGTAAATATCTTTTCTTAGTTAAATTATTTAAATATTTAAATCTTAAGAATAATCACAGAAGAAATTATATAATATATATACATATAGATATATATATACACATGAAAAATTATAAAAAAAAAAATAATATAGAATTAAATTAAAAAGAATAAAATCATTTATAATAAAAATATATAAATAATAAAGTACTGTAAAAATAAAAAAATCTTTTAACACAGTTAATTCAAATTTTTGTTTAACATTTAAGACAAAATAAATATTCTACATATTGTAAATTGTTATAATATAAAAACCTAAAAAAATGTATTCTATAACATTAATGGAATCTAAGGGGCAAAAATTAATTTAGTGTAATTTAAAATAAAACACGCGGGAAGCATATGTACATATATAAAATGGACAGCAGGAATAAAATTAATATACTCATTTATAACTCATAGCAAAAACCAATCGCTCCCATTTTGATGAAAAGTTGAAGAATAGTATACTTAGGTACCTACACAATATAATATGGACTGTACATATTAATTGTACCTTGGGATCTACTCAAATTAATTTCTACGAGGATTGTTTTGAAAACTTAAATATATTATGTATACATATGTTTGTGTATATATGTAAGTAGGTTTACTACATATAACATTACAATGTATGTTGTATGGAGTAAACTCTTAAAAAAGGGAATCTAATTACATACATACATATGTATGTATGTTAATATTTTTCTATGGCAAATTTCATTAGGTATACAGGCAGTCGTCGAATTAAGAAAAATATAGAAAATTTTACTCTCTCACACGCGCAAAACAAACTTCTGTAAATATCTTGTGCATTCAATTGGAAATTTTTTATTTATCGTGTCTACAAAATTTCACTTGGTTAATTTATTCATTTAAGTATTCACATTTAGTTTTGAGAAAATAAGTAGTAATTTTATGTAATTATATTTATAAATCATTATTGAAGCTAAATAAATGGATAAAGTAGAATGAAATGGAAAAAACAATAAAGTACATACATATGTATTTACATACAACCACTTTTACATACATATGTGTACAACGTATGTACACACATATATAAAATTATCAAACGTGCATCATTGTACGTTGTACATGTAGAATATATGTATATTTTTGTAAAATTTCGTAGATTATAGGGAATATATTCAGATATGCAAAAGAACTATCGTATGAAATTTCAATGACAGGCAAAGTAATGGCTTTAGCACGCAAATATTTTCTTTTAGCACTCTTTTTAACTAGAACTGGTATACAATGTACAATGAGAGATGTAAGGAGCTTACAGTTAAATTTTAAGGTTAGGTAACGTTACACACCATAACCATACCTTAAGTTGCTAAACTTTTAAAATGAAAAGTTTGATTGTTTATGTGCGCGACAATGTCTATTATGCACCATATTAAATCTTGATTTTAAATCTGAATCTGATAAAAATCTGAAATGTAATCAAAGTTAAGGTGAAAACAGGACAAGAGCGATTTTCCGCGACGATATATGTATGTATTCAAAATTCATATAGGGTACACACTAGATCTGTCCGGTATAAAACTTGAAAAAACTTTAAAAAGAGAAACAATGATGTAATTTCTCACAAAAAGAAAAATATTCTCATTTGGAAAATTAATAAACCAGATGAAAAAGTTGAAAAAACTTTTGAAAGCTTTATAAATAGCTGATAAACGACAAATTTCAAAAAAATTATCAAATATAAACAAATACTTTTGGGTTTACAAAAAACCGAAAATTTTGTTTACTTTTAATTAAAAAGTTTTGAAAAAAAATTATTGTTGATGAAAAAAATTTTTTTTGGAAAATAAAACTTTTTGACGTAACCAAGAAAAACATATTTTTTGACAGACTTTAAACTTTGAACGTCATCATTTTCTCTCATTTTCCAACTTTTATAGTTTTTAAAAAGTTTCTTATACGAGACAGACCTATTATAAATTTCAACAATGCATGGAATTGATTTAAATATAGGTACGAGTATTAATCAAACAATAAATCTTTATTATTTTATTCGATATTTTTCTTTAGTAACTAGATTTTTACTTTATTTAATTATTTTGAAATCTGCCCAATATTTTTTACCTAAATAATCAAATCTGACCAATTCAAAATAATATCTAAATTTTTTTGACATTCACAAATATATAACGACAGTTATATGTCATATGGACACGTATTCTTTTATATTACATGACCTGGAGACATAGTAAAATTGAATTTTGTTTGTAATAACAAGTTCGAAAAGTAGATAGCGCCTATATAGCTTAATGGTATATTTTGACGTCATTTATGAATTTAATTTTCAACTGAGAATTTGGAATTTTCAATGAATTTTTGTTGGTTTTCAAAATTCAAATTTAAATATTTGTGAATTTCATCTAGAATCATCATCATGAGCTTTATCTAGAATATTGTTTATTAAATTAAAATAAATTTTTATTACATGTTTATAAATGATGGACACATTACATTACGTTCATAATTATGTAATTTTGAATTGGTACGTATACATGTATGTAGTATTTAATTTTATTAAAATTTTATACATTTTGTACTTAATTTGAACATAAGTATTAATGTACATATAATTGTTGCTCCGTTCTAGCATTTTTTATTATTACTGGAAAAATAGAAATTCAAAAGATCCACTTACAGAAACAAAAACCTTTTGCTCCAAATTATTCAACAGTAGTTTTTTAATTGGACGCTAATTCTATATACATAAATACATACATATGACCATATGTATGAGATATGTACAGAGTATCTCATTACCTATGTATAATGGAAAGCTTAAAAAATGTTCGTATTTCGTGAATAAGAAAAGGAAATATGGCGTCTGTGATTTTCAATAATTCAGTTATATGTGACTGGGATCTAATATAAACTGCAAAATGTGCAAAAATAGCATGTTTGAAAATTACAGTTATGGCTTCTATAGGAATAAAGTTTTAAAGGAATTTTTAAAGTTTACACAAGAATACCATAAGTTAGAAGAAGAGCATAAAAGAAAATTGTTACATATGGAACAATTACATATGTACATATAATATACTTGTTATTACAAATATGAGAGAGTAAAATATTCAGTTCCTGCTGATTTCTAAGTATGTGCCAAAAGATTTTTAAGATTTCGAGCTTTCAGTGCATGTTTTCAAAGATTTTAGAGTAAGAAATTTTAATTCAAGTCATGGCTTGGTAGGTAGGTACCTTATTTAAAATGTAAAATAAAAATTCAACAATATTTATATATATATTTTTTTTAAATTTTTTTCTTTATTTATTTTACCAGTTTTTTCCTTTTTAAATTAATTTTTAATTTTTTTTTGTTTTGTTATAATTATATTTTTTGGAATTTTAATTTTTTATTATATATAATTGTTTCTTTTTCTGTTTTCAATACTTTTACTAATTTTGTTTTTTTTTTTTTGAATTTTATTTTTTAGGTTCAATACATTCAACAGCAATTTAACACAAAGCTAAGCAATTTTTTTATGATTTCATATGAAATTTCATCATCGGTTTTCTTAATTTTTTTTTCTTTTTTTTTTTTAATATATAAATGTAGGTATGTAGTTTTTAAACAATTTCTCAAATATTTGATTGAGATTAATAAGATTCCAAAAAGCTGTTTAAAATATTGAAAAATGATAAAGGACTTAATTTTAATTATGTATTTAATGCTATAATAATGATAAGGAGAAAAGAACTATTTTTGAATTCTTCATGAGATAAAAATAATCTTTTAGAATCGTTCAATTATAATATTTTTTGGACAGTTTAATTTATAAAACTAAAAGGTGCGTAAAAATAAATTTTAAATAATTTTTCAATATGATTTTTTTGTTACTTTAAAATTTTTATTTCATATTTCAAGAAATACTTTGAAAGTTTTTAAACTTTAGTGTAATAAATTTGAGGATTTGAAGATTTCATTTTCTTTTTTTTTTGAAAATCTTTTGAGAATTTAATTTTTTTTTTATTTTGAATTGAATTAAGTTAAATAATAATTTACGGTACGGTATAATATAAGTAATTCAAATTATTTATAAAATTATTTTAATTTTATATAAAACCAAAAATAATTTTATAAAGAAACCAAAAGTTATTAACATTCTAAATTTTTTCTTTATAATTTTACTAATTTTATAATAATAATAATAATAATAATACATAATAATAAAATTGCATATTTGTTTTTTCAATTTTGTTAAGCCAAAAGCCTGTTACATATTATTTTGTATGTATATAAATATGAATTATATAATTATGTATATACATACACAAGGAAGTGAAATCAATTTAAATGGAAATAAAAATTTTAAAATTTTCTTTCTAATTTTTTAAATTACCTTTTTTATCTTTCAATTATGATCGCTTGAAATTTTCTATTTATATTTTAATTTTAGTTTTTCGTTTACTAAAAATTGAATTATTTTTTTTTTATGTAATTTTATAAATATGTGGATATATGTATATACATCTATGTATATATATTTTTAATATTTACTATGTATACATATATTTTTCAAAATTATATTTTATACATTTTCGTATTTTATTTCATATTAAGATATAAAAACATAATAAATACATGTAGATTCTAATAGAATATTATTAATTATATTATTTTTATTCTTAATTTTATTTAAAATAATAATTTTCTTGTTTTTTTTTTTTTTTGTTGTGTATATAAATAGTTAATTTATTTTATTTTTTTTTTTGTTTTTTACTTTATATTACTTGTATATTACAAAACTATTATATTAAATTATTAAACTTATTTTATGGGTTTTTTTTTCATTTAAATTTTAATTTATATATTGTTTTTCATTATTATTAATTAAAAATATTTTAATAAATAATTGTAC